AGCAACCTCCAACTCCTGGGTTCAAGCGAGTCTCCTGCCTCAGCCTCCCAAGTAGCTGGGACCACAGGCGCCCGCCATAATGCCTGGCTATTTTTTTGGTTGCAGCCGTCATTGTTGTTTTTGGTGGGCCCAGGCTGGATTTGAACCTGCCACCTTAGGTGTATGTGGCTGACGCCTTAGCCACTTGAGCCACAGGCGCTGAGCCATTAGAGCGAATTTTAAAAAGTTTTTAGTATAATAAATTGTTAGAAAGCTGATTCACTTTACAGTGCTGCCATATATGCCAAGCCCTGCTTAAAGCAAAGTATGATGCTTTGTGTATAATATGTGGATAATGATTCTTACAAGTTTAATACTTAATGGTCTTGCAATTAATTCAAAGGTCCTGTCTTCTTACTCATATTTCTATCTTTGGTGCATGAAGGTAACCACTCTGTTTTGTGCCTATGCAAGTGTATCTTTGTTTACATATATATATATGCACACATGTAAACTTGTGAAAATACAGGTGAAGTCATACTATCAGCTGTTCTGCTACTTAGGATTTTTTGTTTTTCATTTTTGAGACATTGTCTCACTTTGTCATTCTGGGTAGAGTGCAGTGGTGTCCTTATAGCTCTCTGCGACCTCAAATTCTTGGGGTTAAGCTATAGCTTCATTCTTGCCTCAGCCTCTCTAATAAATGAAACCACAGGCACTCTCCACCACACTTGGGTAATTTTTTAATTTTCTTTTTTTGTTGTTGCAATTTTTGGCCAGGGCTGAGTTTCAACCCACCACCTTCAATATATGGGGCCAGCACCCTACTCCTTTGAGCCACAGGCGCCACCCTAATTTTTAAAATTTTTATAGGGATGGGGTGTCACAGTTGCCACAATATTCAGCCTGCAGCTTAGTTTTTCTTTTTCTTTCTTTTTTTCTTTTTTTATAGAGACAGAGTCTCACTTTGTTGCCCTTGGTAGAGTGCCTAGAGTGCTGTGGTGTCACACAGTTCACAGCAACCATCAACTCCTGGGCTTAAGCAATTCTCTTGCCTTAGCCTCCTGAGCAGGTGGGACTACAGGTGCCCACCACAAGACCTGGCAAAATGTTTTTTTTTTTTGTTTGTTTGTTTGTTTTTTTTGGTTGCAGTTTGGCTGGGGTTGGATTTTGAACCCGCCATCCTTGGTATATGGGGCCAGCGCTCTACTCACTGAGCCACAGGCGCCACCCCTTTTTCTTTTTCTTCCTTTTTTTTTTTTTAGACAGAGTCTTACTTTGTCACCATTGGTAGAGTGCTGTGGCATTATAGCTCACAGCAACCTCCAAATTTTGGGCCTGG